AATCGGAGTAAGAGGCAAAAAACTACCTGTTGCGACCGGTTTATGTTTACGCCGTTTATGACCTTACTCCGATAAAATAAAACGGGTTACCGCGTTTACATGACCAAGTGCGTTTTCGGCTTATTAAGCATAATCGGCTTAAGAACGTGCATGTAAACGAAGCCATTTTCATCAACCCTATCAAATACAAATTACAAAATACTATTTTGTATTTGAAATACATGTATCATAAATACCGCCCATCCCTGGACGCAGCTGACACAGAACAGCATAGGTTGTTTACGTCCAGCAGATATTGTCTATGGGAGGTCAGACAGCTCTCAGATTCCATCAAAAATATCTTAATTTGTGTTCCGAAGATGAACGAAGGTCTTATGGGTTTGAAACGACATGAAGGTGAGTAATTAATGACAGAATTGTCATTTTTGGGTGAACTATCCCTTTAACATTGGATTCAAAGTTTCACATGAATTTGCAACAGAAAGCGGATTAGTTTTAAAGTGACTTTAAGCGAGTTCACCAAAAAAAAGAAAATTCTGTCATTAATTACTCACCCTCATGTTGTTCTAAACCCGTAAGACCTTCATTCATCTTCGGAACACAAATTAAAATATTTCTGATGAAATCCGAGAGCTTTCTGACCCTGCATAGACAGCAACGCAACTGACACGTTCAAGGCCCAGAAAGGTAGTAAAGACATTGTTAAAATAGTCCATGTGGCAACAGTGGTTCAACCATAATTTTATGAGGCTATGAGAATACTTTTTGTGCGCAAAGAAAAAAAAAAGACTTTATTCAACAATTTCTTCTGTTCCGTGTCAGTCTCGACATGAGTTCAAGAGAGAACCATGACACATGAGTGTGCATGTGGTGCCTTGTGCATCACTTCACTGCTTTTTGTGCGCAAAGAAAAAAAAAAAGACTTTATTCAACAATTTCTTCTGTTCAGTGTCAGTCTCGACATGAGTTCAAGAGAGAACCATGACACACGAGTGTGCATGTGGTGCCTTGTGCATCACTTCACTGTCGACAGCAATGTAGCTTTTTTCGCTAATGTGACCACCTTTATGCAGACACAGAAGATATTTTGAAGAATGTTGGTAACCAAACAATTTTATTGACCATTAATTTACACTGTACACTGTTATGTCTTTAACTGGAAAATTAGTGTTTACTATTGTCATTTTGCATTATTGACACACTATTTTCCTAATTAATGCTGTTCAGTTGCTTTGACACAATCTGTATTGTTAAAAGCGCTATATAAATAAAGGTGACTTGACTTGACTTGACTTATGGACTACTATTTTATTTTATTTTTAAAAATAAGATACAGGTATAATTACACTATACAGTAATTCAATACAGGTTTATGTTTTGCATTGCAAAAGTTGCTTTCACAATTTAAGGGAATTGCTGTGCTGTTGCCAGTGTGTTGCTATTTGGTTACTAAAAATCAGATGTCCATCCCTTTTATTATGTCTAATTACTTGGGAAAGGAATAACATACCCTCTTCTCAGCAAGCAATATGATTTGAGGCATCGTCCATAGCACAAACTGTGCGAGAGGAGTTAAATTAAGGTCTCGTCCTAATCCCTGACCATAAGCAAAACTAATAGTGATGTTTAATTTGCAAACACTACTACTTTGCTCCAATCTGCAATAGACCAGCTATGATCACAAAAACAGAAAATGAAAAGAGCGCCCCCCTATGGATTACCCAAGATATGAACACTAGTCAAATCGAAGCTTGTACAAACTTCACCTTGCAGTACCAAACATTCCTTCATTAGGTCACTACTGGAAAATCTTTTTGTAAGCTTTTTAAACAGGAAAAAATGACCATGATTGTGGCTGCAATCAGTATAACATACTGCTAAAGATGAGAACCACTGCTGCTGGAGTAAAATGTGTTTTTGTATTGAGCAGGCAAGATTCAATGCGTTATCTTGCTGAAATCCCTGTTGGCCGGTGTGCTGACACTCAGCAAGTCCACACACAGACATACAGGAATGCATATCTATGGACTCCAGGCAGAACCACTGACTTAATGTAATCCGATACCCTTCTAAGACAGCTTACCGAATAAAATACAAATACGCATCCGGACAAATAAAGACAGCATAAGCCAGACGTGTGTAAAAACATAACACTTTATACAAGTAGGCTGAAAAAAAAAATTAATGAATACACAACTACTTTACAAATACAAATGCCGTTGTCTCCCTCCCGAGTTATTTACATGTGTTCCTGACCCAACATCAATACAAAAAGACGTATTTATGACCGAAAGCCCCGACATTATATGATTTAGATACACAGAGGGAAAGTCTTGATTTAAGACAGCAGGCCAATGTAAACACACTAACAGCCAAGCTGAGGTCTGTCTCAACTGACTAATGGTGACATTGTTCATAACTATGCATAAGAAAAACGGAAATATTTCACAGATGTGTTTTCAGCGATGACATTTCTTCCAAATCGAAGTTGGGAGGGCGATACTTCCCACAGCTGCGGCTACCATGAATTGGCTACAGCACGGGATGGTTTTCTATTAATTTACTGTTAAATCACATTCTGAATTGTTGTACCACTTAACACAAACATTTCACACACAAGTACACGTCACTTGAGTTTTCAGATGGTATCCATCCATGCAGCTGAATTTGTGTATACGGTGACAAGAATTCGTTTTAGGTGGGTTTCATGATACAAGCTAATATATTCAATTCTTCTACAGAGAGGGAGCTTTTGAATGGGTCACATATATCGAACTGAAGGTAGTTTGCCATTTCTACATCCCAAAAGGATGAGTTTGGTTCACCGAGCCTTGCTAATCTTGATTATCGTCATTAAATGCTTAAATAAAGGGATATTTACTGACACAAACCGCAAAGGGACAACACCACCACACCTATTAAAAAACATTGGGGACACACACATATAATTCGACTTATTGAACATTATGAATAATGTTGAGACGACCTGCCAAAAGAGTTCCTGGCACGCCAAATGAAGTGTTGAAATTATGAAGCTGATGGCTGTTGTGATCCAAACGCACTTGATCCATGACCTTAAGGATGACATGTTAAACACTGTATAAACAGAGCACGTAGCATGGTAGAAAAAGTACAGCAAGCATTTAGTGGCTCAGTAAAGAGTTCAATATGAAAACGAGCCGTCATACTGTTTTAAAGTCATGCTCGACTCCTGAGGAAGGAGCTTCAGTAAATAAGCTGTAAAAAAAAAAGAAGAAACGGATTGGCCATACAGTGAGCGCCGTTGGCAGAATGATGTTTGATTAACATGAGACGTGGTTAGCTTATGAGTGTTGCTTCAAATTGTAAAACGCTCAATCCAGACTGTCAACGGTGAGTTCCTGTATTACAAAGGGTCAGTCTTTCCAAAACAAATGAAGGGAAAAAAACAGCCCTATGTTATGCCCAAGTACCTTCTCCTCCGATCACTCTCTAGCTGCCACCGCTGGGTTTGGCAGGGGTTTTGGAGCGCATGGCAGCACCAATGCGGGTGTTTCCTTTGCCCTGCTGGGGCTGTGGGGTGGCAGCGGCCTGCTGCGCTGGAGACTCTGCGGCGGTGGCGGCCGCGGCGCTCTGCTGCTGGGCCGGACTGTGTGGCGGCGGGGTCTGGATTTGAGGGGAGGCTGCTGCTGCCGTAACAACCTGCTGCTGGAGGAGCTTCTGTTGCACCACCTGTGTGGTTGTGGCGGTGCCTGTGGGGATGACCTGCACCTGGGCCTGTGCCGAACCTGCTGCGGGTGCTGCCTGCGTCAGGGCCACTGTCTGAGGTTGAGCCTGGATCTACACACACAAAATCAATTCAGCTGTCAGAATCAGGAGTTTCAAAGAACTAGGATTGCATGAAAATAATAATATAATATAATAAAAATATTAGAAGAATCTGATATAACTGGGATAAAAGTGTAAATATAGTATTAGTATTAAAGGGGTCCTATTATGCTCTTTTGCAAAGTCTTGATTTTTATTTAACATTATTACAACACCTCTCTCCCCAGTCTGGCACGAACGGCTCGAATAGTTCCTGAATCAAATGAAGGCCCGCCTTCTGAAATACGAAATGTGTTGTGATTGGTTAGCTGGGCCAGTGTGTGTTGTGATTGGCAGCACTCTGCGCCGGGTCAGGAAATGTCATGCCCCTTACCATAGCCGCATGCGAGCTTCAGTATAAATATTGTGTCAAAATCAAATCAATTTGAGCACGATTTAAACCCGGATGATTGTAACCACTCTAAGTTCATCTGCCTTGGGAAAGCTAGCGTGTCTCCGACATAGTGATAACACTCGTTGCCTTCTCTAGTGCAGCTCAACCAGGTCTCGTCCCATTCGTTCTCAGTTTAAACATTTGATATGTCATCTATGTTGTATTCTGAATAAAATATTGAAATTTGAAACTTCCACATCATTGCATTCTGTTTTTATTCACAATTTGTACAGTGTCCCAACTTTTTTGGAATCGGGTTTGTACATTTAAGTACTGAGTAATGTTAATTAACTACATGTACTTAGTATATGGTTAGGATTAGGGTTTGGCTTAGGGTTACTTGCATGTAATTATGCATAATTTATTGTTATTATAATAGTAAGTACATGTAACATGTAACAAGGACACCTTACAGTGTTACCCTGTTTTCTATTTTAATATATTTTAAAATATAATTTATTCCTGTGATGCAAAGCTGAATTTACAGCAGCCATTATTTCATTCTTCAGTGTCGCATGATCCTTCATTCTAATATGCTGATTTGCGAGATTTATGATTATTATTATTTAAAACAGTTGTGCTGCTTGATTATTTTGTGGAAACTTATAAATTTTTTGTATTATTTCATGAATAAAAATTAAAAAGAGAACGGCATTTTCTTGAAATAGTTATCTTCCGTAACATTATAAATGTCTTTACTGACTCTTTTGTTCAGTTTAATGCATCCATGCCAAATAAAAGTATAAAAGTCTTTAAAATCTTACTGACCCCAAACATTTGAACTGTAGTGCATGTTAATTATATTCAATAACATTTTTTTTAAAAACAATCAGCGAAAAAGGCAAGCAATTTCAGGAATCAGGAACAAACACAAAGAAAGGAAACAAGGTCATTTTTGACTTCATGTTCACTAAAAGAAGCACCAAATAAATTTAAGCAATCAAACACAAAGCACAACACTAAAACACTTACCTGTTGAGGTGAGGATACTATCTGCTGCTGAACTATTTGAGGAATCTTAGTGACCTACAAGCAGAAGGGAAAATCACTACAAAGCCGAGCTGGGCACTAATGCCACACACATAAAGCACTACATGACACTAGGGGTGTACGATATTGGGAAAAAAAAAATAAAAATCTCGATATTTTCTGGGATTTTATCGATAACGATAATTAGACAATATTTTGCTTGTTATGTGCTGGTATCCTAAGGACTACCGTGGACAGCTGACTCATGAAGTTTTTGATATTCTTCATATTCTGTGTGGTGGTCAGTTCACACTGATAGAAATTAATCTTTCCCAATAAGTTAAAATAGATTTTTTACCTTTTATGGGCATTTTTACCTTTATAAACCATTATCGTTTGAGTCAAATTCTTACATTTAATCAATGAATTAGAATAATAAGACCTTTGTGCTGTTACCAAGCAAATTAAATCAGTATCAATAAAATTAATCTGCAATGCAGAGGAAACAGAAGCTGCATCTGAAGTAGCATTTAGATGCATTTACACACTGTTTAATGCAGCTCAGAGGGACATGTAATGATTTAACCTGCAGTTACAAATGCATAAATAATGTTTTGATATATTAAACATAAAACCTTATATACTATTATTTGGAATTATTTAAATAATAAAAATAAACTTTAAATGTGAAATTAAGGCCCTGTCCACACGAACGCGGTTATTTTTAAAACCGCAGCTTTTTCTACGCGGTTAGGCCGTTCGTCCACACGCAAACGCAGCACCAGTTCACTGAAACCGAACATTTTTGAAAACGCCTGCCAGGGTGAAGATTTTCAAAAACTCCGGTTGCAGTGTTATCGTGTAGACAGCGAAACCGGAGTTTTTGGCTTGTGCCGCCTACTGGAGACTTTTTCAGGCTTCTGATTGGCCAACATGGCTTTATGGTTGAGATTATATCGCCACCTGTTGGTTTGGCATGCTCTTGACAGTGATTTTTTTTTTAAAACGGAAGAAGGAAAAACTAAGTTTATAAAAATACCCGTGTACGTGTGGACATGGCCTAAAACCGCCAGCAGGTGGCAGCAAGTCATTGTTAATAAGTGAGTCATTGCGATTGAACCGAATCATTTAAACCATTGATTCATTCAGGAATGAAAAGCTGTCATGTTGCTCAGACGCAAAACAGCGTTGTGGCTGTGTTTGGAATTATTTATGTTGTCGAAATAACGCAAAAACAGGCAATATGGTGTCTAAAACGCAAGTCTCCTAATTAACTTCTTGTTTATTGAACTATTGTAAAAAAAAATATTTTATCAATCAATATTACATTTGTAATCATGGTAATTTTTGGAGGAAAAAACGGCACTCTTTGTATGATATTGATTAACTATATGAAATGATATAAATATATACATTTTCTGTCCCCATATCTTGAATTTTGTGATCATTCTAAATGTATTTTAATAGACTGAATCATGCAGTGAAAGAACATACTATAAATGCACACGCGCAGTAGTCTAGACTTCACGTAATACATGCATGCACAGTGTAGGGGTGTTTTGAATGCAGAATACTCGATAATGTCAAAATCACACAACGTTAAAACAACAATTACGATATTATCGCAGACGATATATATCGCACACCCCTACATGGCACTGCACATCAAAATACTTGCATTCTGATCACACCACATGTCAGGCTTTGCACTTGAGCAGAGAGGTGCTGGCTGTTAGAGCCTAACTTCTTACCTGTATCTGCTGTGCTGCAGGAGGTTTCTGTGGCTGTCCGATGGAAGTGGCGAAGAACTGGGTCTTAATGGCGGGCTGAAGTGGAGTGGTGGCGGTGTATACTTTCTGCTGCTGTTGGGCTGTGGTCTGAGCGGCCTGCTGCGTGCCCATCTGAACAGAGAGATAAAGAGAGAAAGGAGAGAGGGGTTGAAGACACATTTACACAAATAGTGCTTCATTAAAAAATAAATCACATTGGCTGATTGGTACCTTTTGCTGTACCGCAGCCTGTGTTTGCTGTGGCTGTGCTGCCTTCTGGACCGCAGCGGCTTGTGCGGCTGCCTGCTGCTTTTGTCTGTGCAACAGCTGCTGAACCTGGAACGGGTGGGTCACCACTTGACCACCTGCACAAAAACACACACGCTTCAGTCTACAAGAGCCCCTAAAGGGTTGTTACTGACACGGAGACGATGTAGGTGAGTAAAGAAAGCAAGCCTCTCCACTGTTGATTCATGGTCAGAAATGCTGCAATAAACAGTCTTTCACCATTCACTACAGTCTTTGTAAGCCTCTGTCTGATAATTGATTAGGTTTAGGGTGCTTCACAATAAGTTAGTGAAATGTCTAATCCCTTAGAGATTCACAGGCCACATGCCCACTGTTTTTGACAAATTAAACGCATAAATAGCAAGTTTGAAACCAGTTAAGTGTTTATATATTAATTTAATCAAATCACAGCCTGTGCAATTTGATAATCACAGAAAGCCATATTGCTCCATTGATTTTATTTTGATGAATATCGTGCAGCCCTACTTGGGAACTCTGGGATCACCTTTGACATTCACCAAATTCCAAATATATGGAATAATAGGTACAAAATAAGCACTTACGAAGCCATGACTAGTCTAGTCATCAGTATATACTATTATATTATTTATTACTACTTTGAATTAGCTTTTACGTTATGCTTTTATTATGTTTTGTTCATTTCTATTTAGATTTGTTTGATTCCAGAGGAGATGTGTAATGTGTAACGACACTGCTAGAGTCTAGTCAAACCGACTAGTCAGTGTAAACCCTTTTTTCATTCTCCTCGTTTCAGTCTGTACCTGCTTTCTGTGCTTGCCCAATGGCAACGCTAATGCCAGCCACAGTGACAGGAAGAGTCGTGACTCCGGCGGACGAAACCACAGCAGGAACTGAGACAACAGGAGGTGGTTTGGTCAGAGTCACCTGAGCGGTTTGACCCGGTTGAGCCTGAATGGGTCCAGGGGCTGGGACACGTGTCTGAATGAAAAGGCATATAAAGAGTTAATGTGCATTCAAGTGTATGTGAAAGGGTTAGTCTGGGTGTGTATGTATGTGCTTACCAGTCTGGCCACCTGTAAGTTGGTGACGGTAGTTCCAGCAAGCACAGCTCCTGCTCTGGGCGCAGCGACTGCAGCTATCTGAGGGTTGGACGTAGCTGCCGGTGTGGCGTGAACCTGCTGCGGTTGCTGAGTAGATGAAGCCTGCTGACCTTGAGCTGCAGCTACCGCCGCCGCAACCTGCTGCTGGGCCATCTGCAGCTTCTGCTTCTTCAACAACTCCTGGAGAGAACATAGAGATAAGCAGATATTTACAAATGACTACTAATCACTATATTTTTCAAACTCCCTGAGACTTGCGCTGACTTTCTGCATTGAAGCGGTGAGTTTATTAAGATTCAGGTGGTTTAACTGGATGTTTTCTGTAGGTGTGATTGGCTCGTAGGTCACTGCTCATTAAACCTACGATCAAGCTATTCTGACAACAACAACACCTCAGACAGAGGTTTCTTTCATTCTCTTGTCTAATGATTTATGTAAAGCCCTCATGCATGAAATAGCTTTTATCTCTCTAAAGAACAACAGACTAATGGCTTTATTGAGAAAGCTTTTTCTTTGTTTTTGGCCACTTTTCAAAATAAAATGAAAGTGTTTTTTAGCTGCTGAAACATTTAAGGTCACCTATTATGCAAAATTCACTTTTACATGTTGTTTGAACATAAATGTGTGTTGGCAGTTTGTATACACAACCACCCTATAATTATAAAAATCCTTTTTTTTAAATCCCCATAAATCATAAGCAGTGTCTCAGAACAAGATGTTCACAAAATCTGTCAAATGTGACATCGCACTTTACAAGCCCCACGCACCAGTTGACGGACACTGCTGTATTAGCGGAGACCCCACCCTGAGTGAGCCACACACAATCTGCCATGTTTATCTTTACGCTAAAGCATTTAAAAGCAGCATTCAAGTAAGAAATGTCTTCTTATTAAAGCTATTCAGTTCAGAGCAGTGAGTGATTTTCCGTTTTTATTTTATTGTTTGTCTCATATTAACAGCGTAGACAGCAGTATAGATACTATATAGGCCTATTACGCTGCTATCACTTAAAACAGATCTAATGCGATTTCTTTCCCAGCTGTTTACCTTCACTGACATAAATTACTGTTTTTGTAACTTACGTGTGTTTTAACAAACTTGTGTGTATTTCACAGTTTAAGCTCGATAAGACATGAAAGACAACATAATTTAGTACTCACATGCCATGTGACAGCCGTTTTCTGTGCGTGTGCTTCGGATGTGTGTGCTCAGAAAACCGTATATCGGAAGTTTAAACTGATATGGCTTTAAAACACACGATTTCAAACGCGGTAGACACGATAATCAAAACCAAACAGATGTTTTTATCTGAGGTATCTGAGGTACAAGCTGTAAAGGCACAGACCTATTCTGGAAAAGGGGGCGGGGAGCAGCAGCTCATTTGCATTTAAAAGATACATGCATGAAAACCACGTGTTTCTGCTTCCACTCAAAATAGGCATTTTCAAAATCATATAATAAATGATCTGTGAGGTATTTTGAGCTGAAACTTCACAGACACATTCTGGGGACTAATGTAATGATTAATGACTAACCTAATGTTAACATTAACATGTATCAATATGTAACTTTTTTATGATGGACGATACAATATGCTGAGAGTAGGGTGACTGATGGCAGATATAAAGCTGATATACATGGCATTACACTCCAATGCTGCTGCAATTTTATTTATTTACATAGATTTATTAGATTGGAAATATTTCAAAAACTAATCAATAAAAATAATTTGATGAAAAAATAAACCTATAAAATAACATTTATACTTTTTTTAATACACAATTTATACTTTTGACACTTCAAATCATTTTTATATAATTTTTCACAAATACAGAAATAGTTAAAAACATGACTAAAAAGGAACTAAACACTGTAAGCAACAGTGAAATCAGTCATCTGGTAAATCTAAATCCACTGAGAATAATTTCTCAAATATAGACCAGGTAATGCTAAAATGTCAAATTTTGGCCAACATATCAGTCAACTGCAACTGTTAACTGTAGTTATGATTAATTACAATCGGAAACATAAGGGCTAACTCTGGAAATGTCAAAAAACAACATGGAGCACGGGTTGAGAAACATGTTGAGCAATACTGTAACTGCATTTAGACATCCTTCACCATATTAATACCTCAGTATAGGTAAGCAAAAGCAAAACAAATATGGCATCCTCCATACTAATAGTGTGTGTACCTGCTGTGGCTTTCCTACTGCTTTGATCTGTGGAGATGCAGCCTGTGGTTGTTGTTGCTGCTGCTGCAACTGTTGTCTGAGTTGTAATTGTTGGAATTGAGCTGGTGTGAGTGGTTTACCCTGAGACAACTGCATCCCGGGAGCTAGAGAAGCAAAAATAATGGATTAAGAATACAATGATGGGAGATTATCCAGCTAGATATGATTACACAAAAACAATGCGGAAGTGTGACTCTCTGAATCGATTTTGCCACCAGAGAACCCAAAACACGCATGGCTTCTCTAAGGATGGCATTTGGTCTACCTGGAGCCACCAGCGTGCGTGTTTGGGACTGACCAGGAGTCAGATTAGTGGACACTACAGCCGATGCGGTCACTGGGGTAACGGCTCTAACGCTCTGACCCGTCGCAATGGCAACAACCTCCGCTGGGGCCGCCGTTGCAGGCACAGTTCTCTGCTGAGTGTGAACCACCTGAGCCGTGGCAGTTCCTGCCGTCTGTTTGAGGAAACAAATATTTAACACACATAAACAGGACAGAATGGTACAAATCCGTTGAAAAGCAATTTCACAACAAAATAACAGATCAAACTGAATATATTTTGTATTCTACACTTTCAATGTGGACTTCATGTCACACTGCAGGCACTGCTGTGACTAATCAAATCAGCTGCTAATCTATATCTATATCTGTGTAAGATCAAAACTCACAGGTATGACAGGAGACGCCAGACGTTTATTCGCCTGGAACTGACCAGGAAGAACTCCAGGCACAGTGTTTACAATCACATTTCCACTTACTGTAGCTGTTGCTGAAGTTAAAACAGAAACATACATAGATCAGCACTTATATAAACAGCACTCACAACTGGATCAACAAGTACAGGTAAAAGTTGTGTAATGTGATAATACCTGGCTGGATGCTTGTGCCCACTGCAGCGGTCTTGATAGCTCCAGTCTTGAGAATCAACAATACCCAAATAAGATCAACATCATATAGCCTTATACCTTACTATATAATACACCACTGTTTAAAAATGTGGGGTCAGTAAGATTTTTTCTACTGAAATGAATACTTTAATGTGTATTAAATACTAGTTTAATACACATTAAACTGATCAAAAGTGATGATTGAAAAAAAATGACAATTATGACATTTCTAATTTTACAAAAGATTTATGTCAAACAGACTCTGTTTTTCTTCTAGTCTCTTTCTATGCATCAAAGAATCCTGAAATAAACATCAAGGTTTACATTAAAAAAATAAACACCACCACTGTTTTCAACATTGATAATGATAAGAAATGTTTCTTAAAATCAGCTTATTAGTTTGGTTTCATGTGACACTGAAGCCATATTAATACCTCAGTATAGGTAAGCAAAAGCAAAACAAATATGGCATCCTCCATACTAATAGTGTGTGTACCTGCTGTGGCTTTCCTACTGCTTTGATCTGTGGAGATGCAGCCTGTGGTTGTTGTTGCTGCTGCTGCAACTGTTGTCTGAGTTGTAATTGTTGGAATTGAGCTGGTGTGAGTGGTTTACCCTGAGACAACTGCATCCCGGGAGCTAGAGAAGCAAAAATAATGGATTAAGAATACAATGATGGGAGATTATCCAGCTAGATATGATTACACAAAAACAATGCGGAAGTGTGACTCTCTGAATCGATTTTGCCACCAGAGAACCCAAAACACGCATGGCTTCTCTAAGGATGGCATTTGGTCTACCTGGAGCCACCAGCGTGCGTGTTTGGGACTGACCAGGAGTCAGATTAGTGGACACTACAGCCGATGCGGTCACTGGGGTAACGGCTCTAACGCTCTGACCCGTCGCAATGGCAACAACCTCCGCTGGGGCCGCCGTTGCAGGCACAGTTCTCTGCTGAGTGTGAACCACCTGAGCCGTGGCAGTTCCTGCCGTCTGTTTGAGGAAACAAATATTTAACACACATAAACAGGACAGAATGGTACAAATCCGTTGAAAAGCAATTTCACAACAAAATAACAGATCAAACTGAATATATTTTGTATTCTACACTTTCAATGTGGACTTCATGTCACACTGCAGGCACTGCTGTGACTAATCAAATCAGCTGCTAATCTATATCTATATCTGTGTAAGATCAAAACTCACAGGTATGACAGGAGACGCCAGACGTTTATTCGCCTGGAACTGACCAGGAAGAACTCCAGGCACAGTGTTTACAATCACATTTCCACTTACTGTAGCTGTTGCTGAAGTTAAAACAGAAACATACATAGATCAGCACTTATATAAACAGCACTCACAACTGGATCAACAAGTACAGGTAAAAGTTGTGTAATGTGATAATACCTGGCTGGATGCTTGTGCCCACTGCAGCGGTCTTGATAGCTCCAGTCTTGAGAATCAACAATACCCAAATAAGATCAACATCATATAGCCTTATACCTTACTATATAATACACCACTGTTTAAAAATGTGGGGTCAGTAAGATTTTTTCTACTGAAATGAATACTTTAATGTGTATTAAATACTAGTTTAATACACATTAAACTGATCAAAAGTGATGATTGAAAAAAAATGACAATTATGACATTTCTAATTTTACAAAAGATTTATGTCAAACAGACTCTGTTTTTCTTCTAGTCTCTTTCTATGCATCAAAGAATCCTGAAATAAACATCAAGGTTTACATTAAAAAAATAAACACCACCACTGTTTTCAACATTGATAATGATAAGAAATGTTTCTTAAAATCAGCTTATTAGTTTGGTTTCATGTGACACTGAAGACTGGAGTAATGGCTGCTGAAAATTCAGCTTTTCCATCACAGGAACAAATCACATTTTATATAAATATATATAAAAATGTCAAATTGTAATATTACCATTTAAACTATATTATTTCACATTATTAGTGTTTTTACTGTATTTTTGATCAAATAAACAGTCTTAGTAAGTGTAAGAGACCTCTTTCAAAAATATTTACAAATCTTCCTGAACCCAAACTTTGGAACAGTTGTGCAAACATGAATAATATAAGTGTAATATAGAAATGAGTTAGACCTTCATCTTGGGTAATGTAGAGCTAAATACAGGTGTACGTAAGGTCCAGTGTGATATTAAACATGCAGTGCTGAAGGAGTCTAACCAGTACAGCGGTGTTAGGGACTGCTGCTGCTCCGGATTGGTTGGGCTGGGGCACTCCCGCCGCCTGTGTGGCCGGTGCAGTGGTCAGCAAGATTTTTTTACTGAAATTAATACTTCATTAATACATTCGTTATTCACTAAGGACACATCAAACTGATCAAAAGTGACAGCTAAGAAATTTCTAACTTTACAAAAGATTTCTGTCAAATTTTTCTTCTGTTCTCTTTCTATTCATTAAAGAATACTGAAATAAAATATCAAGGTTTTCATAAAAATAATAAACATCACCATCGTTTTCAACACTAATAATGAAAAGAAGCACCAAATCAGGTTATTCGTTTGATTTCATGTGACACAGAGGACTGGAGAAATGGCTGTTGAAAAATCAGCTTTGCCATCACTGGAACAAATTACATATTAAAATATATTAAAACAGAAAAGAGTTATTTTAAATTGTAATAATATTACTATTTAAACTATATTATTTCACAATAGTACTGTTATTTGATCAAATATTAATGTCTTCTTGTTCTTATCTTAATGTCTTGTTCAAATATTAATGTCTTCTTGTACTTAATCTTATTAAGTATAAGAGACCTCTTTCAAAAATATTTACAAAAATGCTCCTGACCCCAAACATTTTGAACAGTTGTGTATACATGAATAATATAACCGTCATATAGAAATGACTCTTAGACCTTCATCTTGGATAATCTAGGGCTAAATACAGGCGTACGTAAGGTCCAGTGTGACATTTAACATGCAGTGCTAAAGGAGTCTAACCAGTACAGTGGTGTTGGGGACTGCTGCTGCTCCGGGTTGGTTGGGCTGAGCCACTCCCGCTGCCTGTGCGGCCGCTGCAGTGGCCTGTGGCTGGGCTTGAGGCTGGGCAGCAGCTCCCTGAGGCTGGGCGGCTCCTGTAGTCTGCTGCTGTTGTTGCTGGGCTAACTGCTGAGCCCTCTGCTGTTCGGCTAGTGCCTATGGCAGCAGAGGATTGAGGAAAAGAGAGAAGAGTTCAATATAATAAATAAAAATGCAAAAAAAAAAAAATAACTTTTTATTTATTATACTTATTTTACTTATATCTCACCTTCTTCTCTTTAGCGATTCTCTCAGCTCTCTGAGAGGCGACCTGGATAGGAGGAAGAGGCTTGTCGTAGCTTATCCCGCTATAAACCATGGGATCAAGAATCAAGAAAGAAAGAATGAATGAGATGCTGTTTAACCTCAAATGAATATCAAATGTGACTAAAGATGTACAATATATTAAATATTGTATCAGTCAATTTTTATTTTTTTAATGATAAATTTCCAAGCTAGCTAATATTGGAAGCACAGGGCTGTACGTTAACCTTTTTTGCACATAGCACTGGTGCTACAGAGGTTGAAAATTTTGTAGCACAGGCCAAAAAGTTGTAGCACAAGTATAAAATGTCTGTTATCATGTCTGAAAACAAACACAAGTAATGGAGTTCACCACTTAAACAGACATTGATGTTCCAAAGAGCACAAAAAATACAAACCATCACAAAAATTGCTTTAAACAAAACAATCTGTTATGTACAAGCAACATTTTTCTTTATTTGCTAAAAATGGAAGAGTGCAGAAACATAACACCTCCTACACCTCAACAAAATATAAAATAAAAAAGAAAGGCAGACATTTAGGCCAAAGTGGGCGAAGATAAAAATCTGTGTCATTATTTTAATCTTTGTTATGGACCCTTTTCACAAGACTGTGATGACGCCTTTCAACGTTCCATCAGCATCATAAATCCTCCAAAGTTTTTCAAATTTTCATAAAAAAAATAAATAAAAATGTACGTACATTTATAACACTATTTTGTTATAATTACAAAAAACGAATTAACGCTAATGCGAGGGTGTTTCTAATACTGTGTCTATAGGAGTGACAGTAAATTTGACTTTGCTCTCTCTTCTGACTGTCATTCTCTCTCTTTTTTTTTTTTTTTTTGAAAGTCATGAAAACATTATCATGGAGTTTTTCTTTTGCTATTTGAGCAAATGGGAATGCAAAAAAAATATTTATATTTGTGGAAGTCTCCCATTCACCACTATAGATTTACCCATCTATGATGACTTCCGCTGCTGAGAAACCCGGAAATGTGAAAAGGGCCTATTAAAAAAATAAGCTGGTTTGGTAACCCATATTCTTCAAAATATCTTATTTTGTGTTCAGCACAGGAAAGTAATTAATACAGGTTTGGGACAATGCGAGTGAGCAAATAGTGACAGAAATTACATTTTTGGGTGAACTATTCCTTTAATGACAAGTGGCACCATGTTTAGTACTGTCCCTTTAAGAGGGACAGTATCCAAACGCATGCGTTTCTCTCTCAACGGTTTACTTTCATTTTAGACAACCAAAATGTAAGCCTTGTGTGTTTTTGACAGTATTAGATGCAAAATCAATCAGACTTGAAAGACAACTTAGTCTAGTAATCAGGTGCTGTTTTAGTGTGCAGTGTGCGCGCGCTTTATGTGTAGGCTATATGCGCTCAGAAAAAACGCATGTCAGAACAGCACGTGAATTAGATGTTTAAGCTGATGCAAATAATGTACTTTTGTACCATAACTACCAAGTATAATCCATGTCACACACACAAACAAGCACAACGAAATCACATCACACTATTAAGCGGCTGTGTTATGAACATGCAAAAACTGTATTGCACGTGTGCTACAGTGATAAATTTATTCATCGCACAGACCGTTTTTTTTGTAGCACATACGACATATATGTCGCACTGTACAGCCCTGAAGCAGATCACTTCAGGGCTTTTTTGTAAAAGCACAGTAACACGTCAAGAGTCAATACCTCTCAGCCAGCACAGAGGCATGCTTAGGATTCTTCTGGAATGGATTCATGCCCAGTCTAGAAACAAAAACACCAAAAATTATTTTTTGCTTTGATGAAAGCATTCTGGCAGAATGTAAATGCAATGTTTGTGTGTTGGACACTGCCTGCACATACAGTGGTCTTATTGGTGGGCTCCTCTTGCTAGCAATGATTTTCATCAGCTCAAAGCGGTTGTTGAACAGCTGGATCTGGGTGGCGTTGTCATCCTGTGTGTAGATCTGACACGTGCGCAGAGGACGACTATTCTTGGACTGCACAAAAAAGGAAGTGTTACCAAGGAAACAGCTAATAATATGTACTGAATTTTTATTATTTTTTAAATACCTTATAAATGCTCTTGGTCTTGTTCTTCTTAGGGTTAGCTTCATATATTAACTGTAGGATAGTTTGTATAATTACGTCACAAGGAAAATGTTGAAAAAAAATAAACAGAATGAAAAAAAAGGAATTCACAACCACATGATCCTGGTACAATCACTCACTTTGCCCTCCTCTCTGGGAATGATGACATTCTCATAGCGATTACGGCATTGTTTTGGCGAGCGGTAAATTCTGCTACAGGAGTTGACCACATCGCTCACCAGGTCCCAGTTAGGAGTGTGTGCTGGAGACACGATGGTCAGATTCAAAGGAAGTTCCAGTAACTGCTTCACAGCCTGTGAACACAGAAAAAAAGGCAGAATTACAACCTTAGCTTATCCATTTAACACACAACTGTGCGGTTAAACATAGGCAGTGATAATGCAATAACGTGATGGATCAAGTACCTGTAGCAGGGCCCAGTCCTCACTGATGAGCCACTCAGGGTTGTCCTGCCCAGCCTCCATGGCTGGTTTGAGCAGTGAGGGCAGCGGTTTGGCAAAGGGAGCCTGTTGCTTCAGAGAGAAGTTCTTCTTCTGGTCTTTACCCTCCCTCCTTACTTTGAGAAGACTGGCCTTATCAAAGAGAGAGCGCGGAGGAATCACTGATTCTCCATGGCCCTTCTTTTTCTTACGTCCCAGAGCTGACAAGGGGGGGGGAGAGAGAGAAAAAGAGAACATTTAGCATGCGTTTAAGCACAGTAAGTTCAGACTGAAAGCGTTTCTTGAGCAGTCTTACCTGACGGGTCCATGTGTCTCTTGCGCTCTTTGCGGACGTAGACTGGGGGCAGTTTGGATTCGGGCATAGGCGCAGTGTCATACATGAGGCAGATTACAGAGTCAATGTAGATATCGTTATCATCCTGTGGAGGAGTTGGGGGAGTCCACAGCTACAGAAAAGAGCAATAGTAAGAGTTATGAACCAATTTTCATATATTTTAAAATAAATACAGGGGTGACTCTCACCGAACTCATCAAGAATTTTACCCCAGAATCAAAAATAAACACATTAAATAAAAATTTATTTAGCTTTATTTAGCTACCCTTTAGATTGTTGGCATTGGAACATTATTTTTGATAAGCACATTTTCATCTTAATTTATCTCATTACATTCATTCATTATGCAAAAAAAAAAAAAAAAAAAAGAGAGACTTTTTTTTTGGAGTAAAATGTGATATAGACATGTTTTTGGGAGATTCAACCAAAATTCTTCCTTTAATTCTCTTCAGGAATGTGCAGTTTTAAACTTACTGGCATTATTTCTGTTTGTCCATTCTCATTCTCGAACACATACTCCTGTAAAGTGGAAGGGAACAGGGTATCAAATCTACACAACATGACATCGCTTCCTACTGAAAAGAACATTAGAATATTAGAATATATTTGTACCATGTTGTATGCATCCTCTCTGGTATAGGTGAACAGATCCTCCTCATCTTCTAGGATCATTTGCTCCGTTTTCTCTACCTTTAGTTTCTGTTGCTGCTGCTGCTCCCAGCCTCTCTTAGCAGCTTCTATGCGCTCCTGCAATTCACACAAACATTGACAATTAAACATTCTGTATTATTTACATGGCAGTCATAACATGTATTGTAATATGTAAAAATGTTTCATACCTTTATAACTTGTTCATCTTCACTGATGTGCAAGTACTCCAGATAGTGCAGTGCGTATCTCTCAATAGGAGTCAGCTAGACAAAACACCACAAATTGTGGTCAGAACCACTTTTTTTATTCAGAAGTGTTTTTTTTATTTATTATTGAGCAAGGAGAAATTGTTCAAAAGTGACAATAAAGACATTTATAATGTTACAAAATATTTGTATTTCATATAATTGCTGTTCTTTAGAACTTTCTATTCATCAAAGAATCCTGAAAAAAATTATTACATCTTCCACAAAAATATTAAGCAGCACAAATGTTTTCAACATCAATAAGAAATTATTTAGGAGCTGTACTGGTTTCTTTCAAAAACCGCAGTGTATAAAGTTAAATAAACAGAATTTGCATGTTAAATAACACAAATGGTTGCATGGTATAAAAAGCACATACGAGAACAATGAAATTTTCAAGTAACATTTTCTATCAATTTCAATAACCTCACCTGCTCCATGACTGCCGCCAACTCCTCTAACTGTGACGCCTCCTCTCTCACCCCTTCCTTCACATCTATCTCTTCTTGTCCTCCCACTTTCTCACTTTTCATGTCTACCTCTGTCTCCTCGACCTCATCTTGGGTTTTCTTTCGGATGGTGTTCAGGGCCTGGATGTAGGGTCTGGCCACATGAGGGGGGATAGATTCGGACGGGGATGGCTCCTGGTGGAGAACCACAAACTCCTCCACCTTCTCACCAGAACCAGCCTCCACCTCAAACAGATCCTGAATGGTGCGCTGTGAAAATCCAGCACATATTTATAATGTGAGCATTCCAAATTCTAGAGAGCTGCCTCTCTCTCTACTGAAACACAACCTCATATCTGGCTAGGTTTTGAAACAGTCCCTCAATGTCAAAAGTAACAGTGATTGCATGTGCGCTTACCTGTGTTAAAAAGGCTAGAGTGTAATCCATGCCCTGTGCAGCTACCTCTCGAATAAGGTCTTTAGTGCCATTCTTTAAAAGCTTCTCCTCAATTGAGTTCCCGCTCTCCAATCTGAGAGAGCACAGCATTAGTAAAAAAGCTGACAAATATAAACCTGACAAGCAAAAACATTTAATTAACCCATCAGTCTTACCTGTAGATGTGGATGTCTTTGGAGCGGCCGATCTTGTCACACCACTCCTGTGTGCGCAAGTCCATGCTGGGATTTAGGTCTGTGTCGTAAAACACGATGGTGTCTGCGTCAAACACATGGCCCATGGCTGAGCAGCAGCGATTGGTCAGGATGGTGCAGAAGATCTGTCTGTTGCGGTTAAACCTCTTGACCCGCTCCTGAAAGTGGTCGGGACATGAGGAACAAGATGGGTTAAGTATTGCATTTTCTGTACAAGATGATCAAGATGAGATGTTTATGTGTTGATAGCACTTCACTGATATGTAAGCATCATTTGAGGCCCCGTGTGGAAATTAATCCAACAGGGAGGGAAGAGCGCTCGCTAATCTGCCCTTTTAATTACAGCCCAGAAACCCACACAGCCTCAATGGGACATGGACTTGGCCAGGGCAACAGAGAATGTTACTCCATGTGTTTTACCTGTCTCTCCTCTAGTGACAGACTCTCATCCAGTCGTACATAGGTGAGGTGACGATGGTCTAAGAAGGCCTCCAGTATATCCAGCATGCTGGCCATCTGGGTGAAGATCAGCAGACGCCTGTTCTCAGCGCTCAGCTTCTGCAGCAGGATAGACAGCGCCTCCAGTTTTCCTGCAAACAGATACAGGAACATCAAAATTTAGACCATTAAACCAGTTTTATTTAGTACTTTTTTACAGCCGGTTGGAGACTCTGATTGCCATGTTAAATTGTTATTATTATTATTTTTTACAATGGCATTCTATTGTTGTGATATTATCCAACTCAGACAGGAAGTGGAATGTACATGGGCAACTCTTGACCAGAACAAGTTGTAAACGTTGCTTTATACTTTATACTGATATTTATAAATTATAAAGCCGACAATTATAACACATACATTTCCGTTCAAAAGTTTGGGGTCAGTAATTATTATTATAATTTTTTTTAACATTGTGAAATTGTATTACAGTTTAAAATAACTGTTTTCTATTTTAATAAATTTAAAGGATAATTTATGTGATGACAAAGTTGAATTTTCAGCATCAGTGCCACATGATCCTTTTACATTCCATTTTTGGCGGGATTTTTTTGAAAAAATATGGTCTTTTAATCACTTTAATGTGTCCTTGCTGAATAGAGGTATTTAAAAAAAATCTAAAACATAACATTTAAGTACAAAGATATATATAAAATATATAAAATATTACATTAAAAATATTTTAAAATCTTACCAACCCAAAATTTCTGAATGGTACTGTAAAGGACAGAATCGTAGCTCTATGATGGATAGAGGATACCATATTGGGAAACATACAATAGTATGCTTAACTGAATATCAGTAATATTTGTGAAATTTAAATCTGAATGTAACAGAGCTGAGGTGCTGTTGTGGCGCTCACCTGAATCCATCTCCAACATGTGTACATGAGGGAATCTGACGACAGGAGGACAGGCTAAGTTACGGATCTCTGCGTTGTGTGGAGCGGACGCTTCCTGTAGCTGTCGCCTGAATGATTTTTGTGCAAGACTGTAAGATGGTGGAGGATTGGACGCATACAGCTGAGGGGGAGGAGCCACAGCAGCAGGAAGTATGCAGGAGAACCTTTAATATAACAGGAAGCAGCATTAGATCACAAAAAGCTCACAAAACTGCTTTCATGGAAAGGAGTACATCGTCAAATCCAGACCTCTTCAACAAGGTGCCTGCTGCTGCCTCCTGTTCCGTGTTGGAGAGAATCGCTGAGCGGAGTGGGGCCACCGTGGACACACAAGTTTGCTGAGCCCTAATACAGCTGTCTCTGCCGACCCAGGACCAGCGGGAGTGCTGGGGTGTGGGGAAGGCTGGTGGAGGGCGTCCCTCATAAACGAAGCAGGTCTTGATAAGGTCAGAACCATACATCACAGAGCGTGAGGACCGCCACTCGTTGGCATGAAATAAACTAGCCAGACGCTCTTTCAGCTGCCTGTTTCTTTCCTCGCTTGACTCCTAATTAGACACAAAGACCAGGCTCAGATTTCAGAACTATTTGATTGACTTCATCAATTCCTTCAACATGTCTTTCAAAATCACCAACCTGTGGTATGGCATTTGTTGAGTGTTTAGCATTTGTTTCCATGGCTGTGGTAGCTTGAGTGACTGTGGTGCTTGCTTTAATGGAAACAGACAGAAACACAGAAACTTAAGTTTGAATGAACTAAGACAGCATTAGAACATCACATTCTTAGGTTAATAGTTCTCAACCAGTGGGCTGGGAACCACTAGGGGGCCTTAGCAGAATTTTAAGGGGACCCATGGTCTTTGGAAGACTGAAATTTTGAAAGTGTTATTTCTAGACCTAAAAAATAATTATAAAATCTTAAAAGTTATGATAATTTCTATAATAAATATAAAATTTTGGCAAGCTAAGCCAAGCTCTAAAATATTTAATTAGGTAGAAAGAGAGAAATGTTTATTGGAAAAAAAAAAAAATTGTATTAGGAATAAAGCGTGTAAACCCTGAAGAACATACTGTCCTTAAATCCTTTGAAATTAAATTATCATAAATGCTAAATTCTTTAAATATATTGCAACTCCGTTTCTATAATTAAAAAACAAAGATTGAAAACAAGCAGGTACAACCAAGAAGCAGAAATTTCCTAGCCTACATGGGGTCCTAGGGGTGTGCGATACTGACAAAAAATAATATCTCAATATTTTCTGGGTTTTTATCGATAACGATAATTAGACATAGACATTAGATATTTTGCTGATTGTTTTATTGTGCTGGTACCTTAAGGACTGCTGTGGACAGCAGACTCCTGATGTTTTTGATATTCTTCATATTCTGTGTGGTGGTCAGTTCACACTGATAGAAATTAATCTTTCCCAATAAGTTTAAATTGATTTTTACCTTTTATGGGCATTTTTACCTTTATAAAGCCATTTTTCTAAAAGTATGCATTATCTTTTGAGTCAAATTCTTACATTTAATCAGTGAATTAGAATAATAAGACCTTTGGGCTGTTACCAAGCAAATTAAATCAGTATCAATAAAATTAATCTGCAATGCAAAGGAAACACAGATGCTGCATCTGAAGTTTAAATGTGAAATGTAAAGCCGGAACGGCTTCCGCGTATGACCGATACTGGAAGTGAGAGAAAAGTGTTTATCACATTTGAGGTATGGATATTTTTCTTACAAAAACGCATGGATTAGCTAGAGGAGGCCTTTATTCACCCCCCAGAGCCGTGTGAGGCACATTTTATTATGGATGCGTGCGCTTTATTTAACGCTTTTTGGACTGTTGAACAGAAACACCCGCCCACTGCAATGATGGAGCTTAGAAGTGCCAGGACAATTTTTAACATAACTCCGATTGGATTTGTCTGAAATAAGAAAGTCATATATACCTAGGATGGCTTGAGGGTGAGTAAAACAAAGGCTAATTTTCATTTCTGAGTGAACTAACCCTTTAAGATATTTTCGTAGCTTCCAAATATTATGGCTGAACGACTGACTTGCGGGGGTGTGGAGGTGGCAGGGGGTGGCATACCTGAGGAGTTCTGTACAGGCACAGCCAGGGGTACAGTAGGCATCACCATGGGCGGCCCCTGTGGCCTGAGAAGAGGCTGTCCGGGGGCAGACACAATCTGCAAGATGTTGCCTAAAGCAGACACATAAACGTATGAGCGTCACATTAAGCCATATAATGAGGATTTACTGAACACACATAAAAACAGCTGACACAAGTGACTGGATATGGAAGTGAAATGAGACAAAGAGAGGATGAATATGGGCTGGACATTACCGAGTGTACCTTGGAGCTGCAGAGGCTGGCCGGTGGTGAGCTGCCGCAGCTGACTCGGAGACAAAGTGAACTTGTTGCCCTGGAACTGTAGGGTCACAGGGGTCTCTGGCTGGGCGATACGACCCTGCCCAACCAACTGAGTAACCTTCACTACATCTCCACCTTCAGTAGAAAACAGCTAATGTTAAATGATAGTGGCTGACAATTTATCTCTGAGAAGGAAAAAACATTTTAGTTAGTTTCGGGGTGAGCACGGAAAGGGACATGCACAACCACGGTGTGTTAAACAGGAAGAATTACACTTTTTTTCCTCAAACAAAAAACCTGTAACAAACAAACTGAAACCAGACTGATTCTTTTAGTGGAGCAAAACAAAGTTGGAGAAAATCTTTGCTTGTATAAAAGGTTTTCCATGTAACAATGGTTACATGTGACATGGGGAGCAGCGCCCACAAGCTTGACGCTCTTTACACCCACAGAATGGCAACAAAATAAACGGCTCTGAAGAAAAGCTGCAGTGAAAAGATAGGGAGGCAAAACCATATTAAAAAGCTTCTGGATCATCCTTCAGCTGTACTGAACAAAAAACAAAGAGATTAGTCATCAAAATGCAGAAGGGAAAAAAGAAAAGGAAAAGGGAATAAATATGTCAAAAAAAGAAGACGTGAATAAATTGGAGGCAGCGGGTTCAGTCCGGAGAAATTTCTGGAGGGCTCATGCTTGTTTGTGAAGGGTGAGGAGAGAAACCACCATAGGTCATCTGCTGAAGATTTTCTGCACTTCAAATCAGATTGGAAATATGCCAACTTTATGGTGTCGATTTGGCTGAATTTGAGTTGAGTATCACCATTAGTTTTTTTGGTGGAAGTCTGCATGCATGTTAGCCCACTTCAGCAGAGCCGTACTGTAGTCTCTGATCTTCACTGAGGTCGTTTACTGCTGTGCTTGGGGGCATGATAAGAAGGAAACAGGTGCACAAGGGAGAGGGCGCAATGGAGAAGGCCCATCTGCGGTGAGTGATGATGAGGCCACTTACTAGGCAAGCGTGCCTTGGCCTGGGAGCTGAGCACCAGCCTCTGGGGTACCAAACTGGGCTGGAGGGGGTGGGCGGCAGGGGCATGGGGGACCACAGCAGGCATAGTGGTGACCCTTGTCACACCCACAGCCAGAGGGGTAGAAGGGGGGTTAGGGGTGGCTCCTGTTAAGAGTGATCCTGATGAGCTGCTGATTGCAGAGGCTAAAAAGGAAGAGGAGTTAACAGTCTGAATTAGGGCTGCACGATAAATTGAAATGAAATCGAAATCGCGATTAGACTGAAGCTGCGATTGTCATGCGTGTCTTGTCAGTGAAGCACGAAATCGCGATTAGACTGAAGCTTCGATTGTCATGCGTGTCTTGTCAGTGAAGCACGGTTCTGTGATCAGTAGTAAATCTCCATCTGAAGGCCAGAGGGCGCTCTCGCATGGAAACTCCAAATACGCCCCGCAGAAGAAACCCGGGGGTTGCTGAATAAACAGAAGATTTAAATGCTTTCGTTGATTCAACGTGACTAATAAACACATGACTACGGCAATATATGGTTTATCTGAGTTTGTCTTATTATAATTTTCAATATAATAAAGTATATCTATAATGAAATGCTAATCGACATAGCCTTTATCATTGCTTAGTAGGGGTGGCTCCTGTTAAGAGTGATCCTGATGAGCTGCTGATTGCAGAGGCTAAAAAGGAAGAGGAGTTAACAGTCTGAATTAGGGCTGCACGATAAATTGAAATGAAATCGAAATCGCGATTAGACTGAAGCTGCGATTGTCATGCGTGTCTTGTCAGTGAAGCACGGTTCTGTGATCAGTAGTAAATCTCCATCTGAAGGCCAGAGGGCGCTCTCGCATGGAAACTCCAAATACGCCCCGCAGAAGAAACCCGGGGGTTGCTGAATAAACAGAAGATTTGTAGCTGGATAAACAGAAGATTTAACTGCTTTTATTGATTCAACGTGACTAATAAACACACGACTACGGCAATATATGGTTTATCTGAGTTCTTATTATTATAATTTTTATCATAATAAAGTATATCTATAATGAAATGCTAATCGACATAGCCTTTATCATTGCTTAGAATACTATGAAATATGTTGCGTCTTATTCTGTGTAAAAGAAGCCACATCATCTCACAGAAGGATTTATTTCAAACACTCGACTGATGTTATGAAGTGAGTTTGGAGTAAAAACATGTTATTAAATGTGGTATTTTTACTTGCTTTCAGATGGAGCAGCATTGACTACACAGAGCCGTAGTTCACTGACAAGCTACGCAAACAGCTTTTATTATCGCGAACGATTTCATAATCGTATGATTATATCGTCTGCGATTTTTTTGCGTAGCTTGTCAGAGATCTACGGCTCTGTGTAGTAAATGCTGCTCCATCTGAAAACAGGTGATGGAGATTTACTACTAATCACAGAACCGGCTTTACTGACAAGATGTGCATGACAATTGCATTTGACTAATCGTGCAGCCCTAGTCTGAATGGACCAATCAGAGCGAGTGTAATGGGGTTGGAGGATTACATTTTTTTAATCTTCTAAATAAAAAGTTATTTGGGACATAAAATATTACAAAATATTGATTTTTGTTTGGTGGTGAGAGGTGCTGGCCTATGCAAAACTCAGCTATAGTGCCAGGGAATTGCCATGTGCCTGCTTGAAGTCACAATGAAATTAAAGCTGACAATTGTTTTATTTATTATGATTATTATTTTAATGGAACATTGCTGTTTAATGAAGCAATTCAATAATTACAGCAACTAACAAATGACAAAAATCCAATCAATTCCCAATGGACAAAATGAAGTCCCAGCCTACATTTTGATCGCAATTTCCATTTAATGGTGATTTTAAAGAAATAGTTCACCAAAAAATGAAAATTCTGGGGTTAGGGATTTCACTGAACCCTCAGAAGGCATAAAAAATATTATTAAAAATTATTATTTTTACTTGCTAAAGGGCAGCGTGCAAACAGATTTATGAAAGAAAGATTTATGAAATGTATTATTTGAAATGGAATTTTGTATTAGTTACAATAAGTTCGGCATCCCAATTGAAACCCAAACATTGAATCAAATTTTTGCAAAAGCACCGCCAAAGTTTACCCTTGTTTTACCCCACTGTATCTGCGTATTTTGGCAAGTCTTTGAATTTTGGCTTGCACTTCTGTAACCAAATTTATTTTCCAATTTTTAAGCACAACCATTGTAAACACCCTCTGGCTAGCCATGACCCAAACTCTCGCTACAGGTTTAGTTGGAAAAAGACTGACGGATCTGAACCAACCGCTCTAAATGTGTTTGATGGTGCTTGGGAGGCTCAATGTTTACACCTTTGGGAGAGATAAACCCATTAATGGCATGTTTATAGTAGTTAATGTACAATAAACTGGCTTAAGATAATGTATTCTGACATAAAATAAATCTTACAGATGTCACCATTAAGTAAGATGGCCAAAAAAAAAAAGCACACACACAAAATAACTGACGTGAGCATATTTTTAGGGAAGAAGCACAACTACAAAAATATCATACCACTTCACAAAAACTTACAGATTGTGAAACAGTTCTGGGTGTAAGTGTGGGAACACGTTTGTCTAAGATGATCCACAAGAAGGGGTCTTACCCTGTGCAGAAGTGGTTGTGGTAAGAGGTGATTTGCCTCTGGGCTGTGGGCTTGGAGCTGCAGTAGCAGGGTTGGTAGTGGTGGTGGGGGCAGTAGTCACAGCAGTGGCACGAGGGGCTTGAGTGGTGCTGCTAGTTATGGGGACCAGGTGCCCCTCTGGTTTTGTTCCATACTGCACCGGCAGGAACAACCTGAAATTAAAATTATGCCACAATCAGTATCAATTCATATGGACCAATCCTGTTGTACATGTACACATCATAATGAAAAATAAAATAAAAAAAGAATAAATAAAATAACAAATTCTCTTTCATAATTAGGTGATACAATAACGTTTAGCATTTAATGTTTGCATTTGTATTTAATAGAAAAACACCTGCAACATGTTTATTCACTCAACAAGAATGTAATTTCATGCATTATTCTGAAGGAAGTGACAATTTTTGGTGTAAAAACAGCAGCATCAACATGAGTATTTTCAGTGTATTATGGTATTAATTGGTTTGTCTCATTTAAAAATATTATGTTCCGTTAATAAAACTACAGAAATCCATATGATATAATTATGGCAGGTATGTGTTCAGAGCTGATAGGTCTGCATGGATGGATGGACACCTCATAGGTTTGATCTTGCATGGTCTGGGTCTGGCTGGTGGATCGCGTGCATTATAGATCTCTTCAATCAGCTGTTTGTTCATTCTGAGTTTAGGCAGAGCCTCCTCGGCCTCATAACGTGTCAATCTGCCCTCGTTACCGATCAGGTCAAACAGTGACATATCTACAGTCTGGAAAAGAAAATGAAAATGGCCTATAAGTCAACAAACATTTTTCTTCTATATTCCACAATCCAAGTGTTTATTTATCTTCCTAACCTTCCACTGGTCCTGCTGCAGGGCTGTGAGCAGTAATGATGGGGTGTTGTACTGCAGTGGCTGACATATGTAAGAGTTGTGTGTGTCTCTGGGCTGGATCAGGTCTGGATGGTTGCAGATCTTCTGCAGCTGCATAAGAACCTCCAGGACTCTGACAAAATGTCCAGTCTTCAGTGCTTCCTGTGCACTAGAAGGCAGTAGAAAAGCAGAGTATCACTCAAAACAGATGAACTGGAAAAGAGCTGGTTAAGATTGTGTTTGGCTGAATGTGTTCTGTGCTGACCTGGGCTGGATGAGGATGTCCTCATACATGCTCTTTTGCCTCTTGGACAGACGGCACTTGAGAATGTGCTCATACTTCTTAGGCATTTGCTTCTCCACGTCTCTCTTGGAACGGCGCAGGATGAAGGGCTGAATCATCTACAGCAGAAAGGAAGAAAACAAAACTAGGATTGTGGTGCTCGAGCAAGATAGTTAAGCAAAAGTGTATCATTCTGTGGTGAAAGTCACCAGAAACAACTTCCAGCAAGCCTCACCCTGTGCAGTCTGATGACCAGTTTGTGGCAGTAGTCCTGGTTCTGATCAGTGCCGGGTTTGATGGGGAAGCTGAGGTATGGGTGAGTGATTCCAGGCAGGAGGAAGTGGATCATGGTCCATAACTCTTTCAGAGTGTTCTGCAGAGGTGTGTTGATTAAGAGAATCCTCTGCTGACTGTTGAGAAGACAGAGAGAAAAAAAACATGATTACTTAAAATCAATTACAATATATTAATGCATACTAGGGTTGTACCCTAATAGTCGACTAACCGTTAGTCGACCAAAATTTTATTAGTCGCTTAGTCACTAAGTTTTATATAGTTATATAGTAAGTTTATTAGTCGCTTCGTAACTAGTTTTATATAGTTAAATAAATAAAAATCCACATTGGCGAAGTCACTCAGATCGTTAACGGCTGGTCTATGGTAATACAGTACATCGGGCAGGATATCCAAACGCTTGCCTATCCTTTATCGACCTCAAATATGGCTTATCATCTGAAATATGTAAGTAGCAGCAACGTTACATGGCCGCTCAATCTAATGTTAACGTGGAAAAATGTGCGCTGTTCAAGTGTCTGTGCGGAATGTGGAACAGTAGCGCTTCACTGCATGACAGATGGAGGCGCCGGAGCGCTCACTTGCTCTTAAAATACTCCCTCATTTTTGCTCATACAGATAAGAGTAATACATCTTTCAAATCTGTAAAGACTCTACGTTTATTTTTGTGCACTCACAAAAAAACAAAACATTGCGCTTTTGTAAAATAATGAAAGCAACGGATGCACTATCTGGGGTCTCAGTCTGTGATCTTGAGAGCGAAACTCCATGTATACTTGTCTTACAGACATGAAAAATATATCTATAGAGAGCAAAATGTCAACTTTCAAATAAACCAATTCAAATGGAAAACAAATATTCTTAGATTATGTAATCCGTATGAAACATGCATACAGGCGCATCCACTACTGCAAAGATGACGAGTCAGTGTTGCCGACTTCATCTCTTAAACCGAAAACAAAGAAAGCGCTAGTTTATCAATGAATTATTAAAATGTTAATGCAGCCTCCTTACTGTTTTTCCCTGACACATTCATAATCAATAATTCTTCTGCCGGTGCGCTGTGGCAAGTTTATGCATGCACTTGAGCGCATAGGCTATGAAGGCAATTAAAGGCTCATTATTATGATTTAAATAATTTATTAATAAATGTGCGATTAGTCGACTAATGCTTCAAATGAATGACTACTAGTCGACCAGAAAAATCTTTAGTCGGGGTAGACCTAATACATACAAAGTATTGTGTAACAGTATAGTGTTATTATAAATGAAGCTAAAACTATTTTAAAAAATCCTTTTTGGTAATTGAAATAAAATAAAACAAAATATAGACATTAAGATGAAAAATTAAAATTAGAAGTGTTGCCTTTGCACTGACTGAAAGAATGTTTAATTATTAAAACTGAAATAAAAAAGGCTAAATACACATTCTAAAACTAAATGAACTGAAGCTACAAATTGAAACTTAAAATATAAAAAAAGATAATTCAAAACATTAATAAATAGTATAATATACAAATAATGCTAAAATAACTCTGATAGAGTAGTAAGGATGCATAGCACATATCAACCAATAAATGGCGGATATCAAATTTCTATACTTTTTGGTCTAAAATAATAAAATGCTAAAAACCAAAAATCAATCATTTTAAATGCTATAAGTAAAGATTAATTTTAATGGTGTTATTATTTTGTGCATTCCTCGTAAACAGCTGTTGTAAAAGATAAATCTACTGTGAATATTCTCTTAAATGCAAAAATGTAGAAAACATGACACCAACAGATACTGTATAGAAAACAGTTGCACTGTTCCTAACCTCTTTATGTTGAAGATGGTCTCCCACTGTTTCTCCGTCATGTTTTTGATGAGCTGCACCTCGTCTAGCACCAGGTGCCTCCAGCGCCTCCTCAGGAAGTGAGACTGATCTTTCAGCAGAAGTTTGTATGAAGTCACACACACATGGAAGCTGTTGGGCTCACACCACCTCTGCACACACAAGACAACAGTGGGAAAGTGAGAACATACACTGCAAAAATGGCTTATCTTACTTAGTATTTTTGTCTGGTTTCTAGTCAAAATATCTAAAAATTCTTAAATCAAGATACTTTTACTAGATTAACCAAATGACTTAAGATATTTAGTCTTGTTTCCAGGGAAAAAAAACTAAATTAAGCGCATTTTGCTTAAAACAAGTACAATTATCTGCCAGTGGGGTAAGTAAAATATTCTTAAAGCAAGAGTATTTTACTTACCCCACTGGCAGATAATTTTACTTGTTTTAAGCAAAACGTGCTTAATTTAGTTTTTTTTCCCTGGAAACAAGACTAAATATCTTAAGTCATTTGGTTAATCTAGTAAAAGTATCTTGATTTAAGAATTTTTAGATATTTTGACTAGAAACAAGACAAAAATACTAAGTAAGATAAGCCATTTTTTGCAGTGTACAAAAACATGGACAAAGGCTTGGGCAAAAGCTACCCAACTCAATTATCAAAGATTTCAATGACCTACAAACTGATTTGAAAACAACTTTGAGGAATCATCTAATGCAAAACTGATGCACTAACAGCTAGACCACAGCAACAGGGATGGATAAGACAGGTGGCAGTATGTGAGAGTACATAGTAGGCTAGCTGGCTTTCTCTGGTTCATACCGATCTCTTGTATCTGCGCTGCTTTCTGCTGCCGAGGTACAGGAGTATCTTCAGTCCAGGACACCACCGTTTGAACTCCATCTCCCAGTTTATCAGCTTACAGGTCCTCACCACCACTAAATGAGGCCCCCAGATACCTGCAACATCCACATGACAGCAGAATGTGTTGCATTTTATTCTTAAAATTACAATAAACAAATGCTTTGAGAAGAAAACCAAATGTAATGGTCTCTATAAAGTTGGTAAATGTGGTTGCTGGTGGTACCCTGGTTGCAGGCCAAGTGAGCAAAATAAGCCACAGTCTGTACGGTTTTGCCAAGGCCAGTTTCATCTGCCAGGATGCCGTTAAGGTTTTTGCGGTGGAGGCTTGCCAGCCACTCCACCCCGACCTGCTGGTACTCTCTCAGAGAACCGTGCAGCAGAGCAGGAGGAGAGGAACGACTCTGAGAGGAAAGGATTCATGAGTCATCAGACAATGTGAGACCACTTGAATTAAACAACTGCTTAAATAAATCTGTAATCATCATGTTTTAAACAGTCCCTGTGAGTAAGAGCGTAAATGACTCACAGTTAGAGTGGTCCTGGCGCTGCCTTTGGGCAGAATCAGGTCTGTTGCTGCAGCGACCTCAGCGATATCCTTGATGGGCTTCCCATCCGGGCCAGAAGCTGTCCGCTGAGCCCCACGGTACTGATCCATACTCAGCAAAGAGTCTATCAGCACAGCATCATGTGGACTGTCCAACGGAGAATCCATGTCTGAACGGAGAAGAGCATAAACTGTTACTGTGACATAGGGCTGCCCTTGTTTTTTTAATTAAACAATGGTTTACTGAACAAATTGCTCTTTCTTTAAATAAATTCAATTATAATCAAAATTTTCTTAGGGATAAAAATGTACCTCAGCTTCTGCTCTAAACTATAGGGAGCCCTTTTACATTACAATAAGGTTACAATTAACAACAGAGCCCAAACTTATATTCAATTACTATTTATTTTTAACTATAATAATTAACACTCAAATAAAAAAAAAATGTATGCAAACATGTTTTTAAATTAACTTCTAAATCATACCATTTCTATTTGTTATTGAAATATAATAATTTACAGAGTGGCTGTCATAACTTGTTTCATAAAAGATTTATTTGAAAATACATTACAAAATTAAGACATCACTAACAGGTAAAGTAAAATATAATGAAGTATATGGTCTAATATTTCGCAAAATGCTCTTCACTAGACTTAATTTCTCTAGCAAATAACAAGCTGTAGACACGGATTACTTGCCTGACGTAAATGAAATGCTACGTGACATTTTGTTTACAAGCCGTTTTAAATACTTCTTTCCGCAGTTGAAACACTAATTGAGCGATTACGTGAGGAGTGAGATGTCAATTCATGTTTATTTTGCGTTAAAACTAGCAATAAAAAGGGATGATCACGCTCACTCGCGCTTTTATACAGCGATCTGTCGTGCCATGTCAAAGAGCGCCAAAACAGCATTTATTGTCTGAATTTCCTGAAAAAAATGGAACGATTTGAAATAAATATCTACACATGCGTACCGAAATTAAAGACCCGTACCGAAAATTTTTGGTACCAATATGTGTATATTTTTCACATCTGTAAGGCAAGTATACACAGAATTTCGCGCTCAAGTTCACAGAGACCAAGACGGCAGATAGCTCATCCTGCCATTATTTTACAAAAGCGCAATGTTTTGTTGTTATTGTGAGTGCACACAAATAAACGTGGAGTCTTTTTGGATTCAAAATATGTATTACTCTTATTTGTAAGAACAAAAAAGTATTTTAAGAGCAAGTGACCACATTGGCGCTTCCATCTGTCATGCAGTGAGCGAGCAATACTATTCAGCTTCCACACTCCGCACAGACACTTGAATAGCGCACATTTTTGTTAACATTAAATTGAGCAGCTATGTAAAGTTGCTAACATATTTCAGATGAAGCCATATTTGAGGTTGATGAATGAAAGGTGAGCATTTGGATGTCCTGCTCGATGTACTGTAATTACCACAAAGACAAGCTCAGGCATGTGATCAGCCAGAGACAAAAAAGCAGGAAAATCTGACCACGCTCCAAGTCACGCCCCCAGCACTTACTATTAAAAATATATTTTAGCACATTAAATAATATATATAATATAATATCTTATATTGTAATACATATTATTGTCCTGTGAAAAATCAAAAGCAGCATTTAATAATCATGACAACAATATAATATATTATAGAAAGTATTAATAGAATTGTTATTATTATTAAAGTACCTGCCAAAAGTTTGGAAACATTACAATTATGATTTTGAAATAAATATCTTCTGCTCATCGAGGCTTAAATTATTTGATCAAAATAAAGTAAAAAAAAAAACAATAATATTGTGAAATATTATTACAACTTTAAAAAAGGTTTATATTATTATATTATTTTAATATTATTAAAACTTTAAAATTTTAATACATTATAAAATGTAATGTTATTCCTGTGATGCAAAGCAGAATTATCTTCATCATTACTCCAGTTTTCAGTGTCACATGATCTTTTTGTAGCATCTGGACCAATCAGACACACCATTTTTCATTTGATTTAACAAATCAATTATTCATCAGATTAACAAACGTTCACAGACCCCTCACCCAATAAACATACTGGGTGCCAAGTTGTCTGTGAACAAGGCCCAGGACCCTGGTTACCATGGCAACCATGACACCTTTGCTAGACCAGATAGACTTTACGACCTAATGGCATGTTG